GTGCTCGAGGTGGGATCTCCTCAAAGTCATCTTCAACAAATTCTGCAACAGCGAGGTGAGCTACATGTCTCTATGAGTGAACGCGGGATTGACGTAAGTCGCAAAAGGTGTCTGTCCAGTGCCCTACAGCTACTCGAAGAAATGCAACCTCAGTGGCTGTGGCTATCTCCAGTATGCGAGAGTGAGCATCCTGTGGGTCGCTCTGATAAGGCACAACTTCAATGTCATCGACGGTGGAAGCAAGCTGCCTCCATATGTTTGACTCTTGCTCAGGCTCAGATTGATGCAGGGCGACAGGTGGTCTGGGAATGGCCGGAAACCACTCGGTCGTGGAAACGCAGTGATGTTCGAGCCTTCATACAACGCCTCCGACAGTCGGGACAGGTTTTTGAAGCGAGAGTGCATGCGTGTCAAGTTGATCACCGAGGTTGCATGGAAGGTCCGCGATCATCTCGTGTGTGGAGACTGTGGAGCACGTCTCAGAGCTTGATGCAAGTGCTACAGACATCCTGTGCTGGAGGTCATGAACATCAGGAGGACACCTGTCTCCTTCAACGAGTTTCAGGGTGTCTCCCTCATGCTACGTGTCGCCGTGCGGTACAAGAGTTTAAACTTCAAGAGGAGCTACGTAGAGCTGAAGATGAGCAGACTTGCGCCGCACATGAGAGCGCCTTTGAACTTGCGAACCAAGGTTGTGGTGATGTGTTAGCTGTCAACGAGCTGAGTGACCCGGAGAAGATGAACAAGGAGGAGCGAGTCATACATGCTCAGTTGATGAAGCTACATCGCAGGTGCGGACATCCTGGAAATCGTGCCTTGGTCAATTTGCTTAAGACACGAGAAGTTGACGCGCACGTTATTCGCATAGCACAGCATCTTCGATGTGATGAATGTCAAAAGATGAAGGTCAGTGAACCGCACAATGTGGTGAGCCTGGATAGATGCGAGCAGCTGTGGCATACGCTGCAGTTGGATCACATTGACTTTCAGTGGAATCAGGAGATGATTCATGTTCTGGTTATGACTGATGAGGCCAGCCAGTACACTGTGATTCAGGAGATGCATCGTAGACCAGTGGAAGAATCCCGAAATTCCACTACAGCTGAGGTCATCAAGGCCATCGAACTGTCGTGGGTGATGCGTCATGGATATCCAAGTCGCATACGTCTCGACCCGGAGGGAGCCTTCCGAGGAACTGCCCTTGGCAACTGGGCAGCAGAATGTGGAATAGAAATGGACGTAACACCGGGTGAAGATCATGCACAGATCGGTGTTGTGGAGCGCATGGGTGGAGTTCTGAAACATCATGCCCATGTCATGTTACAAGGAGAACCTCACATGGATCCATTTCGAGCCTTAGTCCTGATGGCTGCTGCGCACAATGAAAATCAGTTTGTCAATGGGTATACTCCGATGCAGTGGGCATTTGGTCGTCAGTACAGTCACGACAGACGCCTTTTTGATGGAGGTCATGCTGCTCCTTTACACTGCTCGGAAGGAACTGCTGGTACCTCTTTCAGAGAAAATCTACAGCACCGCATACAAGCAGAGGTAGTGTTCAAGAAAGCTCAGGCAGCCCGAAGGGTGACCCTTGCTCTGCATTCCCGTACCAGACCCCATCAAGTCTTTCTTCCTGGAGATCTAGTCTACTACAAGCGCATCAAGCCTCCTGCTGATTTTCCAGCCAATCCGAGTTTTCAGCCCAAACACAAGCAAGCACGGTGGTTTGGACCGGCCAGAGTTCTGTCCTCGGAGACTCGTGCTGATGGTGGGGAGCGACGTCCAGCTGCGGTGGTCTGGATCGTCTCTCATGGACGGCTCAAGCGATGCAGCCAGTGGCAACTTCGTCATGCCACGGTGTCTGAGGCCATCATTGCGGAAGGTGCCAGGGCTCCAACGCCTACGTGGACGTTTCATGACCTTATACAACATCTACACCGAGGACAATATGACACCTATGATGATCTCACGCTACCCGAAGATCAACGAGAACCTCAGGACAAGTATCCGACTCCAGGAACATTTCCTTTGGCTGGAAACCCGGAGAGGCCTAGACGGACTCAATCTACAGGAGCAGATGGACGAGGGAGAACTCCTACGAGGGGGAGATCAAGATCCCGTGCTCGAGCTCTATCTGAAGATCGTCGCCGTGAGGTACAAGATTCGCATGCACTACCGGTACCCTCTCAGCCCACGGATCAGGAAACAACTCCTCCAGGAGAAGGTGCTTCGAGAAAACGGAAGAGTG